TTTCAAATCAAACAGATTCAATCCATAATATTTACCAAGAAATTAATGATATTGATAGAAAATTGATGAGCATTGAATAATAAATAAGACTTATTTATCAAACAAATACAGAACATGATGATACAATAAAGATATAATCCTGTTTAATATTGATTAAAAGTATTTAAAATAGAATTTAATACTATTAAGAAAATCAACAGCAGTAAATAAATGAAGAAGCTTAAAGCAGTGAAGCTAATGTCAGTTAGCTTCAAGAATAAAAATAAATCAATTAAAACAACTCTAATTAAAATTTAAAATAAAATTTTAGTAATACTTCTGATAGCGATGGATTTAAAAACAAATAAAAAATTCATTATAGAGCACAAAGCTAATAAATGCATAGATCTAGCAATTATGATCTTAGATAAAGCATGTCAACAGAATAGCAGACAAATTATGTAGAATATGTATTTAATATGTTTAATAAAACAATTAGATAGCTTTCAGATGTAAAAAGTAACTAAATTAATGGAGCATTTGAATTAATCCTTTAACTTAACTATGATTTACATAAAATAAGTAATTCTTAAGATATTAATTATAATGAAAGAGCATAAGCTCTTTAGTATCTCTATGAGCTAGATTGTTAAGTACCAAATTTATTTAATCTTTTAGTCAAATTAGTGAATAACTAAACAGATAACTTTTATAGCATTTAAGAAGATATTTCAGAATATAAATCAACTATTGAAAAAAACAATAAAGAATAAAAGCCAAATCAATTTACTATAGAATCCCCGTCAGCATCATAAAAATCTTTCATAAAATAAGCTATGATGAAGAATAATTAAAACTAAACAAGCAGCAATACTTCGAACTACAATATAACTTAGGATCATATAGAAGAGTCTATTTAATAACTTGATAATAGTATTAATCAAAATAAAAATTCTAAAAAAACCAGTTAAAAAAATTTTTATGAAAATAATCATTCTAGGTAAAAATCATCGTCTAAATCAATAGAAAATAAATCTTCAAAAAAATTAATAAATGAAAAATAAGTTTATACTTCAAATCCAAATTTAGTAGATATTTAAACCAATTCAAAGGGAATATTGCAAGGTAATAATTCTTAATAGAATGATAAAAGCATAAAACAATTAGATAATAATCTATCCATCAAAGATTAATTAAATAATGTTGAGAATAACTCTTCTTAAGTTTAGTTTTAATTATTCTTCATCATAGCTTATTTTATGAAAGATTTTTATGATGCTGACGGGGATTCTATAGTAAATTGATTTGGCTTTTATTCTTTATTGTTTTTTTCAATAGTTGATTTATATTCTGAAATATCTTCTTAAATGCTATAAAAGTTATCTGTTTAGTTATTCACTAATTTGACTAAAAGATTAAATAAATTTGGTACTTAACAATCTAGCTCATAGAGATACTAAAGAGCTTATGCTCTTTCATTATAATTAATATCTTAAGAATTACTTATTTTATGTAAATCATAGTTAAGTTAAAGGATTAATTCAAATGCTCCATTAATTTAGTTACTTTTTACATCTGAAAGCTATCTAATTGTTTTATTAAACATATTAAATACATATTCTACATAATTTGTCTGCTATTCTGTTGACATGCTTTATCTAAGATCATAATTGCTAGATCTATGCATTTATTAGCTTTGTGCTCTATAATGAATTTTTTATTTGTTTTTAAATCCATCGCTATCAGAAGTATTACTAAAATTTTATTTTAAATTTTAATTAGAGTTGTTTTAATTGATTTATTTTTATTCTTGAAGCTAACTGACATTAGCTTCACTGCTTTTAGCTTCTTCATTTATT